GGCTAAACCACCTGATGAAGAAGTTTCTTTGGGAGGGGGATAGCGATGGATGCAGAATCTACCTATCCACCTTTTAGCTTGGGACAAAGTATGCTCACCTCGCTATCTTGGGAGCCTCGGCATCTGAAAGCTCAAAATTAACAATATCGCGCTCTTGGGCAAACGGTGGTGGTGCTAATCCAATCACCTGTGGCAGCTGGTTCTACATCAAAAATACCACCTCCAACCTTCCTCCTGGCAACCTCCCTCCAGGGCTTACAGCAAGGCTCAGGCGTATGGCTCACCCTCCTGAGCACCCTCAAGGTGTTCAAACAGAGCACTCGCATTTTAGCTTGGGTTGGCACTAGAACCAAATTTTGGTCCGAACAATGGTTTGGACCCTCACTCTTAATGAATCTCTTCCCTTCCCACTTTCTTCTCACAGTCAATAGGCAGGAATGGTTGCTGAAGTATTCCATATCCTAGAACACAAGTGCGTGTGGAGCCTTACCTTGAGGAGGTGCCCTTCAGACATCGAAATTCCTCCTTCATCCCCATCCTGGGCGAGGATAGGCTCATCTGGTGCCCCTCGCTCTGGCTTCTTTTTGGTATCATCCTTTTACTGCAAGCTTACCCAACCTCCTACCTTTCCCTTAAACCCCACTTCTGTTTTTGCCATGATTTGGTTTCCCCTCGTGCCCCATAGGATCTAGTTTTTCAATTGGATTGCCCTCCACCAAAGGGTTCTCACGGTTGACCATTTACAGAGAAGAGGCCTACCCCTTCCTAACCGATGCACCATGTGTTTCGAGGCTGAGGAATCCAACGAACACCTATTCATTCACTGTCCCGTTGCCTCCCTACTCTGGAGTCGCCTTCTTTGCCTCTTTCACTGGCAATGGGTTACTCCCCAATCCATCCCCTGGCTATTTTCCTCCCTCCAGTCCTACCCTTGGCCTAAGTCTGTCATTCTCCCAAACGGTGGAAGCTCTTGCTCTCCTCAAAGGCCTTAGACTTTTTTATCATAGTTGTCCTATACCCTCATCATCGAAGGTGATTCGCACAATGTCCTTCGCAGCACCTCTTCCTCCACCCCCTACCATTGGGCTCTAGCAAACATCTTCGAAGAAATTGCGCATCTGTGATTGGGCCTTTCGACTTCTTGGAAACATGTTTGGCGCAAAAGTAAATTCACACGCAGACACACTCGCTAAAGAAGGTGCTAATACTCAAATGACTTAGTAACTTTTTGCAACCTCAGTCATCCTGTCCAACTGAAGGAGTGTCCAACCCCTTCAACACTCCCTTTTTTGTATAGAGCTCCCCCAAGGGGAGCCTCATTTCTCGGATGTATACAGCCCCCATTCTTTTGGGACCAAATTTCGTATCAGTTTATATGTTATACTCAATACAATGTTAAAATTCTCGAAAAAAAAAAAGGAAGCCATTATGTTTTTATTTTCTTGAAGGATGTTTATTTTGCATATTTCAAGTCTAGGGTAGCTATGTATGTTTATTATGCAAATTTCAAGTTTAAGTATGTTTATTATGCAAATTTCAAGTTTAAGTATGTTTATTATGCAAATTTCAAGTTCAAGTCTTTTCAGTTGGTCTAAAAGATGCTAAGCAGCTAAAGTTCTTATGTATGGTGAAGCAATTGGTTATATTAAGTTAGAAGTAAAAAGATGAGATGAGAAGAATGTTATAAAATCAATTCTTTAGATTTCTTGAACATTATAGAATCAACTGATGATTCGAGTCGTGTTTCAGAAAATGTTGCGCTTAGAATTGCTGATTCATTGTATTAATGGGAGCTAAGGCTATTAGTTGCAAATGGGTTGCAAATTAAGACGATGAAGTTATGTTGAAAGGTTCAAACGTGGTTCGTTTCTGAAGGTGTTTCACAAAATTGTGGGCTACAATTTGAGGAATTATATCTGCTACACTAGCCCCAAATAGTTGGGATAGGGCTCATATGATGATATTTCCTACAGTAGCACTAATGTGAAGGCTATTTTTTCTCCCTTTGGCATCAATAAACTTATTTAAATTTGTGGAAAATTGATCCTAACAGTTCTATATAATCTTGCTCAATCCGGTGATTTCTTAGAAAGTGGGGTCCTGTTTTCAACTTTAAAAGAACCAAGTTTTGGATGTGGGCAAATCAAGGCAAGAGTTGATGGAGGTTCACAATATATAGGCGTCTTATTAGAAGCTTGATTTGTCTCTCATTAGGCATGGTATTGCTTTTGCAATTAGTTTGTTGATTAATTTGTAAGGCACTCGCCATCTTCTTATTGATACACCTAGATTATAGTTAAGATCATCAGTGCCTCTTGGTTGTGATTCTTTCTGAGTCTGATACAAACTCTAGGATCTCCGCAAGTCTTCAAAAAGATGTGCACACTCACTTAGTGAGTGGATGCCTGGAATTAAAAACTGCTGGTGTCTCATTTATAACTGCTGGTATCTCATTTTCCTTTCTTGTCATTTGTGAGTTTACTGGTTTGTTTCTTTTAGGTAGTTAATTAGCACACGTTTGCAGTCCCAATGCTCAGTAGAAGCCCTTGGATCTTATGTTAGGACAATGATTTGGAGCTTTTCTTTTACAGTATAAAATTCAATACTCATATTTGTTATTGCTATAAGCAGCCTATAAAAATCTTTAGTTACCGCTGCTGGATTTGCCTCCAAGTTTCTCATATCTGAATTCTGATTTTTGATATCTTTCATATTTGTATGTTTGCTTTCTATTGATTCTCTTGTGGTTTCAAGCATAATTTTCCTCCTACCCCCACTTAACAATTTTGGATGTGATGTGCTGTTAAATTTTAATTATTATTGCAATAAATAATCAAGGATCTAATACCCTGCATGCTATCCTCCAATGGGATAGTGAAAGAAAGCATTGATCGTAGAATGCTTTTTCCTATGCTGAAAGATCGGTGGTGGAGATGAACCATGATTCCTGATGACAGACATTCACCCCATCATGGTTCATGTCAACTGTTGTGTAGGGGAATGGGCACAGGATGTGCCCTTATAACAGAAAACCCATGCTCTTGGTGTACTGTATACTTCCTAAGGAGTTTGCTTTCCACAATATGCACCTCATTAGATTTATATCTGAGCTCTGCAAAGTTAGAGGACCAGAAACTTGTGAGAAAATGACCTAAGAAAGAAAAAGAGACTCGTGAAATAATTGGGTTGAAGCCATGAATGGAGAGATTTATAGATTCATTTCAAGCAGGTGAACAATACCAAGTGAATACTCTCAAATTTTCCATGAAAAATTTTGTATAGCGAAAATCATAATTTAAAAGAGCTATATGATAGCTTTGCTGCTTGTTCTTTTGGTTAAGCTGTGACAGCTTTCAATTATGTAACTGTCGTAAACTATGTACATTAATTATGTAAAGTGCAGTGGGAGCTTTAGTATGTTCTTGAGTATGCAGGCAATTCGGATAGGTGCTTAGTGCGTCAGGGCTGGCACGAAACCGGGTCTGACATGTGCGCGCGCTCTCATGTGTGTGCGTATACCCGAACCCTGACCTGGAGAGGTCCTGGTGGGACAGGACCTGACTCAGCGGATCTACTTTTAGAGGCCAAACCCGGAGCCTGGTCAGGTTAACAGAACCCAATTAGCAGCAAGACCTAAGTTCCTAATCTCAATTAGACATACTAATTTTTTTAGGATGTCCATTTCTCTATATCAATAACCAATAATAGCCTTTCGTTTTTCTTTTTAATTTATTCACAACCATTCCAGATTTTTCAAATGTTGAAGATAGATAGTGCAAATTCTTTAAGAATTCTATTTTAAGAAGGTGTCCTTTTTTAATAGAAATTGGTTTGTTACTTTTCATTAAAACATAGGAATGATTCTACAGAAAAAAAAAAAAAAATACACATCAATCAGGAGTGCGGGATTTAACATTTGGTTCTACAAACATCATAGAAAGGTGCCCCATTAAACTAGTAGATAATAAAGTAAGCAATGGAAAATTCTTAGTGAGAGAGTCACAAATCTTGAAAAAAAAAAAAAAGAAGAGGAAAAAACGACATTAAAAGAGAAAATCCTTTTTAAAGAACAATTTATTTAGTTTCACTATAAACACCAAATATAATTACAATTTTTTAAAATATGTTAAGTTGAAAGCATTGAATTGATCATAATTAGAAATTCTTAAGTTTGTTGGTGTCGTTAATTGTGCATGCCCATGCACCACATGGTCGATGGACCAGTGTACCTTTAATTTGCTAGAGGATTTCTACACAATACGTTGGCAGTAATAAACCAGAGGTGAGAAAAGATGGACAGTAGCAAGTTTTATGAGGTTTTCCTTCATTTTGGGGCTCGTCTCTCTCTCTCTCTCTCTCTCTCTCTCTCTCTCTATATATATATATATATATATATATATATTTCTTTAATAGTTTTATCAGCAATCGTTCGGTAATTCTTTTGGAATAATGCTTATTTCAATCTTTCTATGTCTTGTCCATGTTAATGAGTTGTGAAACCTGGTTAGTTCTCTTCATTGCTCAATGTTTTATCGGTATGCTTTTAAGTGATTATTTTGAAATAAATCTTATCTTGATCTTTCTGTCTTTGTTTATATTGATGATTTATGAAACGTGAACAATTTTCGTAATTGCTGATTTTTTTTATTGGTATTTTTTAAGTTTTTATTTTGGAATAATGCTTATTTTCAATGCTTTATCTGTTGTCCATGTTGTGAATTCTGAAACCTGCTCCACTTTTGACTGCTCAAATGAATGGGATACAATTAGCAGTTGGGCTATCATTGATCATAAAGAAAGAACAGAGCACTCCGCTGCTTGAAATCTTCAGAGTTTGAAATTTATGGTTATATGTTTGAATTTTCATAATCTTGGTCTTTGAATATCTATCGGATTACTGCGACTGTCGATTTGAAAGAGGAGAAGAAAGTCAATTTCAATTTGATATTCTTGGTTGTATGTTTGAATTTTCATAATCTTGGTGTTTGAATATCTATCAGATTACTGCGACTGTCGATTTGAAAGAGGAGAAGAAAGTCCCCAAGTTAACTGCCATGACTACATGGAGTTTTGATCTTTTGTGATTTACTCGGATATGGCGGGGTGAGTACTTAGGAGTAATCCCTGGTTTTGTCCTTTTCACTTGCTGTAATCTTGGCAAAGCTCATTGCTCACCATGTCTCTGTTCTTCTTCTCAATATATCAATTTGTAATCATTTGTTTGGCCCCGATCCTTCAACTGAGGTCACAGCTGACTTTGTTGTCTCCATAAACATTATCATTATCTTTATTTTCAATGAATATCTCCTGTTCTTCATTCTCTCAGTCTCTCTCACACACACACACACTTCACTTGCCCTGAATGACTTATTTTCTCGACTTTCATTGACTGAAGCTCTCTCTCTCTCTCTCTCTCTCTCTCTCTCTCTCTCTCTCTCTCTCTCTCT